GGCCTGTTTCCACACTGTCAGGATTCTATGATGGATTCTAAAGGGCAATGTTTTCACACACAGGGTGGAGCTAATAAAAGTGATGATGATGAGGAAAAATAGAAAGTGCAGTGAGGAACTGGAAGAAGAAACTGAAAAGGACTGTGAATAAAGGTTAGCTGATAACATGAAAAAATGTTAACTCTTTTTAGATGTATACAAAAAATAGAAGACAAGTTAACAAGAGGAGGATAATTGTGGATGTGAGGTGGGGTGCATGGGTGCAGAAAGAACAAGTACTCAAAATAGCTTGGGTACAGGAATTGGTTCAGTAAAAAAATTGCAGAAATAAAAATACTTAAGATAAAGGGCTAGAACAGCACACCTTATAGATTGCTGAAAGACAGCAGTGGAGATAGCAGACACTGTGGCCACCATTTTCCAATCATAAATACATAAATAGTGCCATGAAACTGGGGAGTAGACAATATCATACATAAGAAGGGAGAAGAGAATAATCTGGGTGACAAAAAGACTGGTTAATAGACAATCATGTAAATCTAGAATTTAACATGAAGTGAGTCAGGATTTAGCTGGCTAAGATAATGTATTAGTTATGTTACTCTTAAGTTTGAGATTTTTAACATCTGAAAATATAAAGCTGATGTCAGATGAAAGTAACCAAGAAAGTATAGAATTGTGATAAAAGTACAGCTGGCTCACAAATCCTTTTGAAAAGAAAAGCTGTTGTACTACGTACTCTAGTCTGCACATGACTGCAGACCCACATCAATATCATGACTTTTAGCCGCCCACTGGCAAACATCTTAGTTATATTAAATGAGTGCAAAAGTTCAAGAAAATGATACATTAGGCAAGGGCAATAAGTGCAGACTTAGCATTGAAACTGCATCTTGACAATGAATTAATCAATCAAAGATATGCAGATTTGTTAATAAAGATTAAAAATAGAGAATGTTGGAAATTATCAGCAGGCCTGGCAGCTTTTGTGCAAAAAGAGAAACAGAGTTATTGTTTCAGGTCGACTTTTCTCCAGAGCTGCTGGGTTTTCCTGCATTTTCTGTGTTTATTTCAAATTTCTAGCAGCTGCAATATTTTGCTTTTGTTGTTAGAGAACTGCATTTATTAATTGTATCTGAAAGCTGATGAAATATTTAGAATGCAGTCAATGATCTGTAGCTGAATTTTTAGAAGGTTGTTTAACAAAGATGTTCACTAGGCATCTGCTCGAACAAATGTAGGTGTTTATCATAAGTGTAGCAGCCTGGACAAAATATTGCAGAAAAGGGACGAAAAGCCAACATAGAAACATAGGAAACAGGTACAGGATGAGGCTGCACAATCATTCAATATGATTATGGCCGTTTCAGTATCCCACTCTTGCTTTCCCTCCATGTCCTTTGATCCCTTTAGCTGCAAGGGCCATATCCAGCTCCCTCTTGAATATATCTAACAAACTAGCCCAAACAGCTTTCTGTGGGAGAGAATTCCACAAGTTCACAACTCTCTGAGTGAAGAAATTCTTCCTCATCTGAGTCCTGAATGGCTTACCCCTTATTCTTAGACTGTAACCCCTAGTTTTGGGCTTCCCCAACATCGGGAACAATCTTCCGTCATCTAGCCTGTCCGGTCCCATCAGAATTTTATATGTTTCTTTGAGAACCCCCTCATTTTTCTAAATTCCAGAGAATACAAACGCAGTTGATCCAATCTTCCTTCATATGTCAGTCCTGCCATCTCGGGAATCAGTCTGGTGATCCTTCGCTGGACTCTCTAAATAGCAAGAATGTCTTTTCTCAGACTAGGAGACCAAAACTGCACACAGTAGGCAAGATGTGGCCTCACCAAGGCCCTGTATAACTGTAACAAGACATCCTTATTCCTATACTCAAATCCTCTCGCTATGAAGGCCAGGATGCCACTTGCTTTCCTCGCTGCCCGCTGCACCTGCATGCCAGCCTTCAGACACTATTCCACCATGACACACAGCGCTCATTGCTCTTTACCTTTTCCTAAACTGCCACCATTCAGATAATAATCTGTCTTCCTATTTTTGCCACTGAAGTGGATATCCTCAAATTTTCCACATGATGTTGCATTTGCCAAGTATTTGCCCACTCACCAGCCTGTCCAAATCACCCTGCAGCCTCTTAGCATCATCCTCACAGCACACACTGCCACCCAGCTTAGTGTTGTCTGTGCATTTGGAGATATTGCATCTAATTCTTTCATACAAGTCGGTAATGTATATTGTTAACAGCTGGGTCCCAGCACTGAACCCTGCAACACCCCACTCGTCACTGCCTGCCACTCTGAAAAGGACCCATTTATTACAACTCTCTGCTTTCTGTGCCAACCAGTTTTCTATCCACATAAATGCGTTACGTCTGATACTATGAGCTTTAATTTTGCTTACTAATCTCTTGTGTAGCACCTTCTTAAAAGCCTTTTTTAAGTCCAGATACACAACATTCTCTAATTTACCCTTGTCCACTCTACTGGTCACATCGACAAAATATTCCAGAAAACTTGTCAAGCAAGATTTCCCTTTAGTGAATCCATGCTGACTTGGACTGTTTCTGCCACTGCTTTCCAAATGCTCATTTATAACATCCTTAATAATTGATTCCAGCATTTTCTCCAACACTGATGGGAGGCTAACTGGCCTATAATTGCCCATTTTCTCTCTCCCCCCTTTTGTAGAAACTGGGATTACATTAGCTACCCTCCAATCCATTAGAACTCTTCCAGGGTCTATAGAATGCTGGAAAATTATTACCTATGAGTCCATTGTTTCTATCTTAATCTCATCAATTTCCACAATACCATTTCCTGACTAATAATGATTTTCTTCAGTTCCTCCTTCATGCTTGACTCTCTGTCTCTTAGCATTTCCAGAAGGTTTTTTGTGTCCTCCTTAGTGAAGACAGATCCAAAGTATTTTTTCAACTGGTCCGCCATCTCTTTGTTCTCCATTGTGAATTCACCTGATTCTAACTGCAAGGGATCTACTTTTGTCTTCACCAGTCTTTTTCTCTTCACATATCCTAAGAAGTTTTTGCAGTGAGTTTTTATGTTTTTCGCAAGCTTACTCTCTATTCTATTTTCCCCTTCTGAATTAAATCTTTTGTCTTCCTCTGCTGCATGTTAAATTTCTCCCAGTCTTCACGCTTGCTGCTTTTTCTGGCCAATTTATATGCATCCTCTTTGGCTTTGACACTACCCCTGATTTCCCTTGTTAACCATGGTTGAGCTATCTTCCCTGTTCTATTCATATGCCAGACAGGGATGTACAATTGTTGAAGTTCATCCATGTGTTCTTTAAATATCTGCCATTGCCATTGCCACCGTCAACTTCTTAAGTATCTTTGGCCAGCTTATCCTCGCCAATGCATGCATCATACCATCAAAGTTAGTTTTCTTTAAGTGAAGCACCCTAGTCTCAGATTTAACCATGTCACTCTCCACCTTAATGAAGAATTGTACCATATCATGGTCACTCTTCCCCAAAGATCTCACACCACAATTAATCCTTTCTCATTACAGAATAGCCAGTTGAGGATGGTCTGCTCTCTAGTTGGTTCCTCGACATATGGTTAAGGGAACCCTCCCTCATACATTTCAGGAAATCCTGTGGCACTGACATAATAGACTAAATGTCCTCACTTTTCTGCCCTTCAGTTATGAGGTTTACAAAGTGCATCAGTTAATAGGTTTTATAATATCTTCAAATGAATGCGCACAATTCTGCTTGCTAACTGTATTTAATTAAGAATTAGATCTGTGCCAGGCAGCTGATAGAATCATTTTGAATAATTTGAAAAAAAATATATTTAACAGACTCCCAAGGAACTCCCCACAAAATCAAAAATTGCCCTGGGCAATTCCTCCAAACCTAGAACCTTTTGTCAAGATGCCTGACACACACTCTCCAATACCATACACCCTCTCCCCCTCTTCCTGCCCCCCCTCCCCTTACCTACCCCTTCAACCTAACCTCCTCAGTCTGCACCCAACTCTTCCTTCAAACTCACTGGAATTGACACACCACACACCCCAGCCAGGTTGGGCTGGACCACTCCCTCACCAACAAACCTGACACATGCCCTCCCTATCTCATGTTGGACTTGATTACTCCCACCCATCCTGACTTACCGTAAATATTGTATCACATTTTGGCTCCTTGCAACCTTGCACACTACCCACCTGGTACCCTACACCTTATCTAACTACATTCTACCCACCTGCACTCTATGTATGTTGCGCTGTAACCTCTACTCAGCTCGTATCCTACCCCTGGCACCCTAACCCTTCCAGCTGGCACCCTAATTACATGTCACCCTACCTCCCCTTCCTAATCTGGTACCCTATCCTCCCAGTCCCCTAATATCACACTTGCCATATGTACTTATGATTTGACAGCAGCTGTCAATGTGGCTGACTGGACTTTAAATGTCAGCATAAAGCAGCTGACAGCTGTGAAGAAAACATGTGGTTTGCTTTCCTCTGACAGTTCTACGCTATGAAAAAATTGTCAGACTGAAAGTACAACTTCACATTTCTGTGACAGACCTGAGCAGAATGTGCTTTCAGAAATGAGGAGTATTTTGTAAAAGAAGGGAAGCCAGAGTTGACTCATCAGAAAATCCAGCCTAGAATTTGTGTTTTAGGTTGATGATCTTTTGTTTGAACTAGGGTGTAATGAGGTTATTCATTAGAACTCAAGTTTATTGAGATAATTGTGGCTAAGATGACAATTGTGTGGTCCATGTAAAATAAACAATAAAAATTAGATAATTAAAAATGAAAATAACCTGTATTAAAGTGGCAATCAAAGGAATTTCATGTAGAAATATGCGTTAGCCTATTTGTAATTTTGAAGTTATTAATGAGTGTTAATATGTTGGACATAACTTAAGTACATCATTGATTAAACTTGTGTTAAATCTACAATCTTGAAATAAGCTGTATTTATTTATTTATTTATTTTTGCTCTGCAGTCCTGGTACTTGGGCTAGCTTGGTCCCATTCCAAGTGTCAAATGGAACTACCATCCTGCCAACGAATGTTCAGAATTACAGTTTAAACTTCATCAGTGAACCCTTCCTCCAAGCAGAGACAACAAACTGAAGGCAATGAAGATCAAATATCATCTCTGGATCAAGAAAAAATGTTTTCAGAAACACAGAAATGTGATTGCTGCACTCACAATCACCAAATTCTTGCAAGCTTAAAATCTGCATAAATGGTATTTCATCAGTAATACGGTGAGGGTGATTTTCATACTTGGATAACAGATCATGCCAAGCACTGGCCTTTATTGAACACTGGGATCCACTGGGGACAGTTGTTTTAATTTCCAAATCTGACAACCTTAATACTCTTATTAGCTTTTAGATGTTTAAGACTTTGCATGTTTAGGTAATTGGGGGGGTTCCGGTTTTTTTTTTCACTCAGTCCAGGAGTAGTAAAACTACAGCCCAGTCTTTGTGATTGATAAGGTTTTACTTGTATGATAAAGGCTGGATGAAGAATGTACATGTAATTATGTGTTTTCTACAAACTGTTGTCTGAGGGGACAAAAAGCCCACAAAGCACACAATTAGACTATGCACACTATACTACTGCAGAAAACAAAACAAAAAGATGTAGGTGGAGTTTTACTGAATTTATATTTAACAATTGGCTCACAAAATTGCATCTTGTCACTGAATCTACTTTCCTTTCACTTTTAGTGTTTAGTATGCAGATCTGAACAGATCCTATTTGATAAAAGATAAGCACTTGGAAAAGCAGTAATAGTCCCTCACAGTTTCAGATGCTTTGAAATTAACTTAATACAAGAATGAAGCTTACTGATGGATTTTTTTGCCCTTAAAATGTCAGTAATTCTATGAAAAAACACTTAAGAGGCAAGTGCAATTTATCATATCTGATTGAGGGGTTTAATATAAGTCCTTGTGCCCTAGGACTCTAAATTGAGGGGATGTAATGTAACCTTTAAATAAGCCTGAACAATTTTTTGCCCCTCCCCCCCTTGAGAATGTGTATTAATTAAGGGGGATAAATGAATAATAGACACATGCTTGCTTAGGAAGGTAATTAAACACAATTGAAAGTACTGCACTTGATTCCTTATACTCCATTAGCTCTGTGGAGTTTAAAAATATATAATATATATGTATCAGGTGTGTCAGGAAAAGAAAGCATGGCATAATCAGTTTCCAAGACGTTGATGTGAAAGTGTCACACAGAGCGTGTTGGTGAGCAGCATCGCAGTTTACAAATCAATGGCGACAGGGATGCAGCAGCTAAATTTCTCGCACTCTACTGAGTAAACACTATTTTTAACCACAGTGTGCCGAATAATGCATGGTGCTTTTCTTGCACAGTTAGCCTTGCTATCCACCTGACAGTGCTAGTGGCAGGACTCCAGTGTGCATGTCAAGTCAGTTTTGGCCCTTCTGTTTCTCTGTAACTCTAATAGATCTTATCCTTGATTTGCACGAAGTTATATAGTCCACATTACGTGCCTTGCCTTTGAAATAAAACAGTGAGATCACTGCACACGTTTGCTGCATATATTATAGCTCATCTTATGAAAACTACCATTTGTATGAAAGAAATTATTTTGTACTCCAGAGGACAGTGTGACATCACTAATTGTCGATATTCAAATACTTTGACTTTGTTAACTCATTTATAAAGCATATCATGGCTGTGTATAGTTGGTGCTTAAAATTTTTAATCAGCCAGTAATATTTTTCAGTATTTTTGGCAAGTTTTTTCTATTAATCTTTCATGTTTTTCATCTTTCAATTACTCATTTGGGGTTTTTTGAACTTTTAAGAATTATGCAATACCAATTTTTGTCTAAATAGGTAAAGCTTTTAGCTGTATTGATTATCACAAGTTAGTATGCAGATTAGCTGATGTAAGCTTTTTTTCCATTTAAATTGACCAAAGTTGGCGCTGCTTTCTATGCAGTATGGTAGGTCTTTACAAGATGGTTAAGGGAGATGTTTTGGGGAGGAGGGTACTTTTAAGAAGAATTCTACAGCACAGCTGTGAAGCATAATGCCATCTTCCAAACACAGGCTGCAAAGTAACTGTTCTGTCAACTGTGATAATCTCTCAGCTTGGTCCTTCTTTCGACTTTCCACCTGGGGTGCAATATGAGTTCATTGATTTACAAAAATATTAAAATGTAGTGATTTTCACTGGAGACAGGCTTGACTTGAGCTTCAATATTTATTGAGCAGCTAGGATTTTCTCTTGTGAAAATTCACTTTGGCAGAGCTCCATCTCCCTGCTGGCCCCAAAAAACCAGAAACAGAACTGTGGGTCTTAAACCACCTTTTCACTGCCCAGCATGAGCGACTCTCAAGGCTATTTCTCCTCTTTGCCCTGAGAGCGGAATCACCAAATTCAGGCAGGAACTTTTCAGAAGTGGTTTAGAGATGAATTGTTCTTACTTTCACTTCTGGCAGGCTGCTGAATTAGAAAAAAATCTTCTTCAGTTTCCACTAGGGCATTCTAATTTGGCTTCTTAAGGAGATTGCCTTTTATTTTATCATCATCACTTTTAGGTAAGTGCCAAATCAACCACAGGCCTAACCATCAAAAGCTGCAAAAATCCAGTATGACTTGTAAATTTGATGTGATTCAAATATAATTTTAAATACAGAGAAATCTGAAGAAATTCATCAGGTCTAGCAGCACCTGTGGAGAGAGAAACAGAGTTAATGTTTTGAATATGGTATGGACACTTCTGAAGAAGCGACATACCAAACTCCAAACATTAACTCTATTTCTCTCTCCACAGATGCTGCTAGACCTGCTGAGTTTCTCCAGCATTTTCTGTGTTATTTGATTTCCTACATCTGTCGTATTTTGCCTTTATTCAATAATTTTAAATATTTTGTTTTAAAGCACTATTTACTAGCTCTGAATTGTAGAGATTGAATACAAGTCTGTCTAATTGGAACAACAATACTGCGTGATCAAAACATAAAAATACAAGTCTCAGAGTAAAGATCTTTTAAATGCTTTTGGATTTAATTCTTATAAAAAAGTGAACTACTTAAATGTTATTCCAAAGAACTTGCTTGGACCTGTTGCCTCCTATTTCAAGTGAACAGGATTAAGGTTTCTTGAAAACAGCCGCAACTTAAGTCAAGGCTCTGCTCCCTTCCTTCACCAGGATGTTAAATCTGAAAAATTGAAGACACCCTGTTCTAATATGTACTGTTTCTGCATTTCCCTTAAGTGCTTTGCAGTCTGGGTGTTGGTGCTACCAGTGAAGTGCATTTCCCCAGCGTGATGTAAAAGTTAAGGCACAATAGTTTGGGGGATTTCAAAAAAAACGTGTAGGAGACTTCTTCTGAAAAAAAATCTGGCAAAAATAAATAACTATAGCAATAGCTGTGGGAGTATGATTCAGGCATGGCAGCTCAGTGTTAGTTGATTTGTTATGGCTGTGTAATGTGAGGGGAAACAAAGAGGGGTCTTGAAAATGAGCCACCCGCCTTGCAGACTAATTTGTACACTGTATAGTTTTGTTAAGAACAATTTAAAGTAATTACCCTTTTTTGTAATGCTAAAATTTTTTAAATGAGTTAATTAGGGGAAGAAATGATTACACTGGCTTTTGAAAGACCAGTTTATTATGCCATTTTTAAGAGGAAGAAAATCCTGTCTGGAAGCTGGACTTGAGTTAAAACTCTCCAGTTACCTAATTTATATATTAAAAAGAAGTCAGTCCATATGGAAGTTTGTGTATTCCTATGCTTAAGAAGTGTAGGTTCCTAATTTTTAATCCAGTTTTAAATGGAGAAAAGTTATATTTTATGAAGGTTATTTTGTTGTATTTAGTGTTGAAAAGGTTGGTTTTCAGAAACATTTCATAATGTCAGGAGGAATACTATCTTTTTTTAAAGTGTGTATGGACTCCAGTAAATGTTTGTGTGAGTTTAAGTGTTGGTATTTATGATTTGAATGAAAGTGCACAAGGGCATCAGCAACAAATCCAGTACAGGTATCTAAGCCAGTGCATAAACTCAGACAGGATTCCTGATAAATCTGGTACAGTGTTGGAACACACTGCACTGCTGGGGGAACCTATCTAGGAACTCTTGGCTGTGGTCACTGACATGGATTTTGTTTATGTTGCACTTGTACCTGCATCATACAAAGATTACAAAAAGATACCCCACATACAGTGTACAGTATTCTGTTTTTGAAAAGACAATGCAATGTTGCTGGCAGTTAGGTCCCAAGAAGGATACCAGACATGGTTTACATATTTCCAATAAAGTCTGCTGCTAGACATAACCAACTGTGTGCTTAGTGGATCTTCTGTTTTGAAATTAAAATTCGACCTGCATTTGGTAAAGACGTAGCACGTGGAAATAGAAAGTAGAAAGATACCGTAAGAGAGGAAGAGGGATGTTGTTGAAATCTTTTCAATATTTGCACCTTTTTATTTAAAAAAACAGTTCAGTGCTTCTCAAGCTTCTTCCCACTGTAACTCCTTTGTGAAGCTTGAAAAGTATTCTGATAGCCTCAACAAAAAGAAACGATGGTTGGGGAGGGAAGAGAAAATCATTTAAAGCCAGGAGGTGGGCTACAAAGCTCCACAGCAGTAATTGCTGACTCCCAACCCCATTTGAGCTTCTTGGCCCCTACTTTTGGAAGTCTTAGTTAATGAATTCTACACGCATCTTCCCAGCAAATTAGTTCTTGAATTTTATGCTCTCTATCAGCATACAGTTGGTGACTAGGCAGACTTCACTGGAATATGCACCAGGACAGGCTACATAGTTGGTTTAATAATTAAAAGAAAGCCCAGGTTATGGATATTGCTTTCTTTTGACCTGTATATGGCAATTGTATTCATTCTCTCTCATTGAGCAGGGTCTGATGCCAATGTCACAGTAGCAACTTCTTGCAGTGTTTCCATCCCACAGTACTTTTGCCACATTGTTAATAGTTAAGGGGGACATGTTGAAAAGGGTCAATTTTCACCTTTGTGTTGCAATTTTTTTCTTACAGAATGTATTTAATATACAGATAAAAGAAAAAAAAATGTTTCTCTAGGTATGAGTCTCTGGAAATACCCGTGTTTTAAGATTTTACTGTATGTTTAAATTTGTAAAAATGGTCTCAGTGTCAGTGGTGATACCTCCCCGAAAGATGCCTAACAATGATCAATGCAGCATTTTCTAATCCAACCAAGACTGAGTTAGGGTCAGTTGAATTTGTTCTCATTATAGGCAATACATGAGATTTTTTTTTCTGGTAGTTTTAAATAACTACGATGGTCCTTCAGGCCACTTACTGAATGGACTGGTTTATGATGCAAAATACATTAGACTAACAGTAATAATAAACTTCACTATAAAATATTGGCCACTAATACATTTCAAAGTGTAGATTAATCATAGTATTTGCTTTTGTTCCAGGCAATATCTAGTTCTAATAAAGACAAAATCTGCTAGAAGCACCTAGCATCTGTGATGGAATATTAAAAGGTAATGTTTCAGGTATAGCTCTTTGTCTGAAGTCTGAGTAAGATTTATATCTGAAACAGCCCTTTGCTAATGTTTAAGAAGGGGTAAGCCTAAAGTGGTCCATTGATTGACCTCTGATTATCTCCTGAGTAGCTCAGCATTTTCAATTTTTGTTGTTAGATTTACAGTATTTTTTGCTTTTATTGTCTGCTTGTGATGCCTCATCATTAGGTTCTAAATTAAATTTGTACACTGTTGATCCAGTGCTAATGCCTAGAAAATCTTTAAAAAAAACTCAAAAAGGCAGTGGTTTTGTTTTAAGGACCCCTTTCTTGGAATGTCATTCACAAAAGCAAAATATAATGAAAAGTATGTGGTTTTGAGAATTTCCAAATTCTTGTGTAGACGTTACATACAAATATGTTTTATTAGATGCAGCACTATTGGCTGGGATCTTACAAGGGTGACAAGTGTAATTCAATAGACTCTACAAATGAGTATAACACACCTTGGAATACTAGATAGAACACAACCTATCACAAAGTAATTTTTTCTCCTCCAGAATTGTCCACATCAAATCTCCACATCTCTTTTGCCTCCTAAACTCACAGGGATAACTAGTCAGCATTAAAGCACAAATGTGAGAAAATACTACTCTTGTGCTGTTTGATTTAGACTGAAAAGTTCAAGCAAACTGCATGATATGTGCTGTCCACTGCAGTGAAACTAGACATTTCCAACAAAGTCAAAGCTGTGCAGGGTCTTTGTGTTTAAGAGGCAGCCGTCAGGTCCCCTGACACTGAAACCACTTTCATCATGAACTGTTGTATTTCTAAAGAAATAGCATGATGGATTTTTATTATCAAAACTGTGCTGCAGGAACTGATGTGTATTATCAACTGAAGGATTGTTGTTACAGCCCTGGTCGCTACAGTAATGTATGTTCCATAAATGGAGGCCATGGGATGTTACCTTGAGTTATGTTAATGCAAAATAAGGATTCAACAACAAAAAAAACCAGCATACGTTTACCAAAAATGTCAAAGCAGTGCCTGTTTAATCTTGCAGTCTCTGTTCAGTTGTAAATCTGTTCATTCAGACAACTTGTTTTCTGCAAAGCTGATCCAACTTGCAGAATATGAGGGTAATTCCTGCTCAGCTGTCAGCTTCCTAGAGCTTGTTTACATGCTCCATATTCACAGAGGCTGTTACACACATATATAAATATTGCATTAATGTGTGTAACATCCTGAAATTCCATTTAAGTCTTGACACTGCGCATTGTACAGATAGTCTTTTCATTGTGATTGTGGCTCCCAGTCAATCTGTGAAGAGCTTTTTCCAGATGGGAATTCTGAGAGGATTCTTACAATGTATTGTAAGAACTTTTTGAGATATTTCTCTTGAGATCAACTTTTGTAGGACTGTGTGTTTCCATAGATACATGATGCTACCTTTAGTACAATAGTAGGTAACAAGTAGTCAGTAAGTGCTTGCTAGCCACACACCAGGGTTGTTCCATTTTGAAACTGGAGTTTTTCGTCCCATAGACACAGCTATTCTGTCCAAAACGAAAAACATAGAAAGGCTATTGTTATCGCTGCAGATGATACTGTGTTCTGTTTCCAATTTGGATGCAAGTTCTAGGATGGTTCAAAGCTGTTGAGATCAGTGCAAATGATCAACCCATTATGGGGTCGAAACCTTCACAAGTTTCAAACTGGTGTAAATTCAGCTTGACTTCTGTGATTGTAACTGTTATATCCAGCCTATACTGCTAGCAGCTGCTCATACTGCAGTCAAATACTGGAAGTGGATATGTTTCCTATGCAAATAAAGAAAAAAACAGTTTAAAAATAAAAATGAGCTACGCTACAACCATTGGTGGCCTGTCTGTTTGTTCGGTTCTGTGTTGATAGATGGTCTGCTTTTAACACAGTTACATTTGTTTAAGTGCTGTTGGATAATGAAGTTTCAGATTTTAAATCTTGCGTGTAAAACCAAAGAAACACATCAATCTCTTTAACCTTTATATGGATGTGTTGAACCATCATTGAGATGGAATTTCATCTCAGGAGATAATAGACGGTTATTCAGCCTAACACCTAGTATTCTTTTCCATTTTGATTGCATTAGATCTAATTTATTCTTTGTTATTCTCCATTACTCACATAAAGGTTATGGTGTGATGATCATTATTCTCCAAATGTTTCCCTACTGATCCT